CGACGCTCATTTGGGGTATAATTTCATTTTCCTTGATCGCTGCATGTACAGCCTTGAGGGATTGTATCTCATTCCTAAAGAAGAATGAATGTACGGTTCGCCTTAACGCCATTTTGCTATCGTCATCCAATTTAACGGCCTTTCGTCCCTTCAAATTAAACTTTGGATCAGTAGTAGCTCCAGTTTTCTTCTTTTCATGCACCACCCTGCGAATGGTCCACTCTGGAACGCCTGTCATACTTTCACAACGCGCGAGTGCATTTCCCTGCGACATAGTTCTATTCAGATAATTGAACACGTTGAGCACGATTTCTTTCGCGTCCCTCTTCAGTGCTTTACGAAGCCGTCTACTTGTTCCCTGGCTTTCAGTACTTCCACTCGTGCCATTTGTACTCTCCATGGTTAAGTATAACCAAAACAGTAACCACAGAAACCACAACAATAACAATCTCACAACAATTCTTATAAAAACACACAATATGCGATCGCTCAACGAAACACGTTCCAATGCGTTGCCGACGCCTATGAGTCTGCCGGTCAAGGCGCGTCTTTGATTTCATTGGTTCTACCGGCGGAGAACAATCAGCCATTATTTCCATCTCTGTCTGTGCTGTTGACCACCGCAAAGCCACAGAAACGTCATATGTCGTACGCTATACGGCTGTACTGGAAGGAAGCCGGGATCGGGCTCTGATCACGTGTTGATCACGCGTATGAGTCATTACAGTTTTAAATAGTTGTAGTATAGGAGAACGGCCTATACAGGGTGTCCAAGATAAGGATCCTGTATGGGAATCTCAATACCTGTGACCGATACAGCTTGGACAATTTTGTTCTAAGAAATATCAAAAAATTAATGGACCTTGTTCATTGGCACATTTTAGGCACTACATAATGGTGTTTTCAAATTTTGTGTCCAACGTTTTCTTTTTGAGGAACCAACATCGACTTTTATATGGTCCGAAAAAAAGTATACCCTGTATCTGTACGAATTCTAACAGTTAAGCTCAGACATTTCTGGTGTTCTCAGGCTTAATGGTTCCGTTGCACATTTTCGTAACTACTCAGTTTCAAAAGTATGGTGATAGACTTGGTTTTTAATAAGACCCCCAAACAAAAAAGGCCAGAAGAGTTAAGTTCGGGGAATCGGTGAGAAAGATACCCTCGAACTTGCCTAGAGTTATGTGCAGGAGCACATCTTAAAAATGGTTTGGCCAAACTTTAGTTTTTCAGTAAGCCATGAAATTTTTAGTTTCTTCTAAATATGCGGTAGGCTTCTTAGAGCGATTTTCGCGCTATACTGCCATCCTTATCAGAAAGGTCGTATCTGCATTTTGCACATTTTTATGAAGAACGCGTTTTTTTCTGTAAAACTACGGTTAAGTAATATGTTGATGTAAAATGAAGTAAGTACTTCTGAACCATGTATCTTTAACGCCTTTTGAAAACGTTCAAAGTCACATAGTTAGGAGACTGCAGATACGACCTTACTTATATGTATTTTTAATTATACGTAATTGCTAAGAAAAACAATCAAAAATAGCATATTAAATCCTCAAAAATAACATATTTCAATGCAAAATAAACCGATATACTCTAGATAGCTATCATTAATATTGCATAAACCTAATTTAGATAAAACTGTCAAATACGAGCTTCTTGCTTAGCACGGCAGTATAGTTCATAGAAATTCGCTCAAAAATGCAGCGTAGTTTATATAGATATACTGTGGTTTAACCACTTGGGCACAACGAATTGCTTTCGAAGTGAAAAACTGGGTGGCTATTGCAGCTGTTAAACTTTACCTATTAGCCGTTACGCAGGTGGTCATTCAGAAAATACATTTATATTCTGGTAGATCAAGTATAGTGCGACTCTGGTATTGAGGAACTCTAATAGAACGTGCGTGAAGCCTGTTAGACAGGCTCGTCAGCCTTCTGCTTTGGACGCTAGGTTGATAAAGTTAAATTATATCTCCGCTACTGCAATGCATCTAGGTTACTGGGGTTCTATCCAGTTCTGCTGAGTTCAAGGAACTCAAGTATACCTTAACTGCCTAGTACTTTGGATTTGCTTTCATGGTTACTTCAGAATAAAAAAACTACTAAGTCCCTTCCATGTGACTTGTCTTAGGTAAAGTATACGACAACGATATTGTATTCGTTTATATTTTTTCTGCTTCCTTGTGTTACCGACCCGCCATATACGAGCTCCTTCCCACTTCAGTTGGCCCAGCTATTGAAATCTTAGTTCTTTTCTTATCAAACACAAATAATAAAAATGTAGCAGGGTGTTATAGGTTTAAAATATTAACAATGAATATTTTGATAATATATAGTAGAAAACGCCAACTTTATCACTCCCTAATCAAATTTGCAGCATAAAAATAACACATGTTGCAATTACAGCATATCAACCTATTTTCACTTCAATGCAAAATAAGTCTATAACGCATAGGTGGTTGTGAAAAATAAAAGCCATGACAATTGTTTTTATTAATCACAGCTGTCAGAATACGTTTAACATAGTTTTGGGTAGTTAAGGTTTTCAAAATGGCTAGAGGAAAGGTTATTAGTGAGAAAATTCGGTTACTGATAACTAAATTTTTTAATTCTGGGAAATCAAACTCAGAAATTGCAACTTTGTTAGACTTATCTCGGTACAGTGTGAGAAATATCGTTAGAAGATATAACGTAACTGGTTCAGTTAATATTAAGCCACGATGCACAAATGCCGACCGAAGAGCATTAGGAAGAATAATCTTGAAAAACAGGGGTGCCAATTATTTACAATTAAGTGCTCTGTGGAGTGACGCTGTTGGAAGGAGAATGTCGGGGTTCACAACTCATAGAGAGGCCCACAAACTGGGATTTAGCACTTGAAAGTGTAAGTTTTCTTATAAAAAAAAAGTGAAGTAAAAACCCTCACGTTGCACAACTTGTTTATAGGCCAAAGAAAAGCCACTACTAACTCCACTGCATAAGAAAAATCGGCTTAGATGGGCTAAAGAACATAGACAATGGACACATCAAGAATGGTGTGCAATGCAATGGAGTGATGAGGTCCGATTCGAAGTTTGTGTTGGTGACAATCGCAGTAGAGTTATTCGCAAAAAAAAGTAAGCATTCATTCCATGTTGACTGTCGGAAGAGAAAAGTGAAATTTCCAGCATCCATTATGATCTGGGGCAGTATGTCATCCAAAGGAGTAGGAAAACTTCATTTTATTGATGGAAATGTGCATACAAACAAATATTTGACAATTTTAGAAGAATCGCTTTTACCAGTGAAGGAAGAATGTTTGACATCCGGCCAAGATTTTGTGTTTCAGCAAGATGGTGCAGCGTGCCATACCTCAAAGAAGGCTATAAAATGGATGGAAGAAAATAATGTACCACTTTAGAAATGGGTTTCTAGCAGTCCAGATCTGTCACCTATTGAAACTTTGTGGCACGAGATGAAAAAGGTTTTACGACAACATCCTGTTCGTACAATCACCGAACTGAAACAAAAGCTTCGAGAAATATGGGATTGTTTTACACCAAATTTTTGCCAAAACTTGGTTAATAATATGCCCCAAAGAATTTCAGCCGTAATAAAAAATAAAGGTGATGTTACCCAATGGCAATCTTTCAATTGTTGCTTTGTCAACTTTGCGCATTTATTCGCACATTCTTTATTTGTTCAGATGTTCTATTAGTTATAGGTCTAAATGATTTTTGATATGTATTTTTTACGACTAGATTGTATCTAAAATGTTTAGTTTATAAAGGCATATTTTGGCACAAATCTTGAAGTGGGCCAACTGAAGTGGAAAGGGGCTCGTAGTACGGCTATTATATGATACGGTATAAATAATAATGGATTCTGGATCATCTGTATAAATTATACCTTTGAAAAATGTGCAACAACCTAAAAAGCTCTAATAGTTCGATACAATTGGCTTGAATGTAGCGAATCTAAGAAATCGCATAATCGATAATTGTAACATATTATTTTTCCATCTCCCAGCCTATAACTATGTTTTCAAAATTATTGGTTCTAATTGTATGCAACCAAAGCAACGTAACAAAAAGGATAATAATTATTAGTGCTGACCTCTTTCAGTTAATAGCATGGTTATTATGGAATTAGAATAAAAATCAAGCCTACCGCCATCTATGTAAATATTACGAAACTCGAGTCTCGGTGAATTTGAGCCTACGCAGGGGAATACCCTAATCCTCATTGTTTCTTTTTCAATACGAGCAAGAGTAGTTGATCGAATGAGTCCTTATTAATGTGTGTTGATGTGATCAAATAGTGAAATAAAACGGCCAGTACCAGCAAAGGGGATCATCATGATTACTCCGATTCTTCGGATTCAGAAAGGGAGGCAAAAAGATTAAAGTTTAAAAACGTAAACAGACGAGAAAATAGACCACAAAAATATAGATGTGAATGGGAAAGCAATCCTCATTTCAAAGGATGGTTGAAAGCTGTTAAAGGTAGAAAAAATAACATAAAACCATTTTATACTTTTGTGATAGTGAAATTCAAGCAGATTTAACTGTATTGAAAAATCACAGTAAGGGAGCTAAACATTTAGAAAATGTAAAGGTGATTGTGAAAAATCAACCAAAACTTTCTACTATGTTTTCTAATAAAAACGAAGCTAGTGGTCAAGTGAGTAGGGCAGAAATAAAAATTGTTGCATTAATATCAGAGCATAATCTACCCATCAAGCTGTGTGATCATCTGATTCCTTTATTAAAAGACATATATCCTGACTCGAAAATTGCCCAAGGAATGCAAATGGGAAGAACCAAAGCAACAGGTGTTATAAAACATGTTTTAGCCAAATCTCATTTTGAAGAACTAATCGATGAACTAAAAGCAAAAAAGTTTAGCATTTTAGTAGATGAATCTACAGACATAGGTGTAGTAAAAAATGTATGTGTATGTGTTAGGTACTTTAGTGAAAAAACAAATGAGGTAACTACAAAATTTTTAAATTTGGTTAAATGTTTTTCAAATCAAAATTCAGATGAAGCAAATACGGGGGCGACCGCAGAAGTTCTTTATAAAAAAATTATGGATTTATTTGAGTCTAACAATATACCTTTCCAAAATATTATAGGATTTGGTTCTGATGGTTGTAACACTATGTTTGGTGCCAATAACTCAGTAGTAAGTAGGTTAAAACTAAATCTTCCTGGCATCATAGTTTTGTTTTGGCCCGTCATTGTGAAGATTTAGCCAGGAATATTTGTGGTTACTTTAAAAATAGCTCCAAACGGCAAGCACAATTTACAGAATTTCAGACATTTTGTAATGTGGAGCCTCACAAAATTTTACGTCCTTCACAAACTAGGTGGCTTTCATTACTTATGGTAGTGGAAAGGATAATTGAGCAATGGAATCCCCTTCAATTATATTTTGTTAAAGAATGGACCGAACATAGACGGCAAGCTTCAGAAGTTGTTACCAATAGACTTAATGATATGGAAACAAAACTTTTTTCTTTTTTCTTCATTGGATTTTACCAAAATTTGTAAAATTAAATGAATACTTTCAAAGTGAGCGTGTCATAATTGCACACGTTTATGATGTAGTTTGTGAAACTTATAAAGAAATTTGTTTAAGCTATTTACAACCAAATTATATTCATAAAACCGAAATAGGTAAAATCGATCCCAACAATGCTAGTCAGTTCAGATATACCTTGGTGTTCGCGTACTTCAGAACATTGATAAATTAAGTCAAAAGGAAAACGAAGATTTCTACATGCGGTGCCGTCAATTTTTAATAACTTCTGCAAATGAAATGAAAAAACGGTTTGATTTCAATGAAAATATTTTGTCAAAAATATCAGTATTTGAAAAAGGGTATTCTAAACCAAAACCAGCATCGCTTTTTCCATTAATTAAGTTACTACCCAGAATTGTAGATCCTCAAGATATTGAACAAATACAAAAAATTGATGATCAGTGGCGGATGTATTGCCAGTCAGAACCAAATTTCAGTGATGAAATAAAGGATGAAACATCAATCGATAAATACTGGTACAAAATCTCCCAAATTCACGACATGTCTGATGTTTACGTATTTAAAGAATTGGGAAATTTTGTATTAGATTTATTAGTAATTCCTCATTCAAATGCCGCATGCGAAAGAATGTTTTCAAAAGTAAATTTAATCAAAACAGATGTCCGAAATCGCTTGTACAGTGATACAGTAAATTCACTTTTGTTGGAATCTCAAAGTGTAAATCGTGAATGTTACAAGTTTAATGTTACTCAAAATATGATTAATAGAATAACGTCCTATAAACATGTCGCTCAAGATGAAAATGAAACTGTTGATATTCATTTTGAACCTGAATAATGTTTTTTATGTTTTCGAGTTAGGTATATCTTTGATTTTCCCAAATGTTCAATTTTTTTATGAGATTTTTACATTAAAGAACCTATATTAATTATGTGTATTTTTTGTCTTAAAGGAACAGTATTTGTAACATAATTTTGAAGAAAAATTGATAATTCTGGCAACATCGTACCATAATTCCTTTACTGGCCGGTGGCATCACTGCAGAGCGGTACTCGGGATACATTTTCAGTTCTAGGCAGACAGTCTAGGTTGACGGACGACGTCTTGAATAACGTTTATGTGCGATACGAATTTTTCCCGCCCTTGGACACGATCTGCTCAGGCAGGTTAGCGGCCCACGGACATCGAAAATTATATGTACAAAGCCGTAGTGATACTGTCAGCGCGCATGATACTGATAGTAGTAACGAGGGCAGCAATGATAGCTAGGAATGCCGTCGTATTTCTGAAAGAAAGTGTCTGTCTGTTAAAAAAAAACAGCCAAACTGACTAACGTGCCATATCCTACAATTTGTAAAATTATTCGTAACGGTGGCAAACCAAGAAAATGTAGAATTGACAATGGGACATCTATACCTTCAAGCGCAGCAACAACTGACAAAGTTATAAACGCAATGAAATTCCCACAGCAGAGATGGTACATCGAGAACTGATGGAAAGAGGCGAGAATTGTTCCCTGCCTACATTTAAGAGGTGGCTGCCAAAGGTCGGATTCAAATTATCAACAAGAGATATTCAGTCATAGAAAGTAAGCGCAAGGTAGGCCAATATATTACCTAGATGAAACATAATACGATTGTACGGTACACATGGTACTGCAAAAAAGGGATGGACCGACTCATCCACAAAATGTCAGTTGAAAAGTAAACCACCAAATAAAGGATCCCGGATGGTCATTCTGCATTGTGGCTCCGCAGATAGTTGGGATCAAAATGCGCTATTGCCATCTGGCAAGAAAATAACGGATTGCAAGCTGGACTACCATGAGAATATGGATACCGAGATGTTTGGGGAATGGTTTACCACCAAATTGCTGCCAAGTTTGAAACCTGGAAGTATTATTGTAATGGATAATGCCAGCTACCATTCCAGACAAATCGCAAAGGTCCCTAATTCCTCGTCCTGCAAGAAAGACATTCAAGAATTTATTGTGGGGCACGATCTCTATTTTGAGGATTTTTATACAAAAAAAGAATTGACAGAGGTCTTCCGGTCAAGACAGTTTGTGTGGTTTAGTATCTAATTATTTCAGTAAGATCCTGGTCCCATAGCTTTACTAAATACGCATTACTTGGATCTAGGCTGCAAGTATCACCTTTCGTCGCTGACCTGACCCAAACACGTGCTATCATCGACACGTCGTGTATCTTCGATTATGAAATTTTCATTCTTCATGTTAAATACACCACAAAAACGTGTCTCATTAGCGGGACATAATCTGGGAAGAAACTTGCTAAACCGCTTTGGGAGCGTATTCTTTGATCGTTAGCTTGAACGACGATCATGACAACTTACATATTGTATCATTTCGCAATGGGTATATCTCAAGTTGATGTCTTAATGATTCTTGTTAATAATGTCACAGGAGTTAATCAATGGCGATTTAGAGAAGGTAGTTAATGATAGCGGTAAGTTATGATTGAAAACTACGATATCGTGACGTTAGTACCAGGAAAATAGTCTGATATATGTGTCATTTACTCTGAAGTAGGTTACAGAATCAACGACACTAAACAATAATAAATTTCTTATACTTATACTGTAAACATAGATCTTCCACTATGTTAGCCTAAGTTCCGAAATATAATAGCTGTTACAAACAAACAGAAGCCGCGGGTTCGTCTAACAGAACTGCGGCTTAAATATATGTTAAAAGCTTGTGCTTACAGTAGCAAATTCTTCTAAGTTCACTTCAAAATGTACGTTTTGTTTTATGAATTGGATTTATCATGACGAGACATTCTCATTAAGGGAAAGTCATCTCAATGAGAGAATGCACTGAATAATATACATAGCTAGCGGGAAGTGTGCATAAAGAAAACAAGGGACTGTCAGGGAATTATTAAGTTCAGGACGAATATTAAAAATGACATTAAAGCTGGATGTATATCCGTCTGTGTATATATACTTCCGAATATTAAGTCATTATTCTACATAAAGGGCTGAATTTTGAAAACAAAAGAATTCATTACCTTCTCCACGGACAACTGTATACGCTGTGTTAGTGCAGTTATTTTATACTAGAATTGTGATATCAGAATAAACTGAATGTATTGTATGGTATACGTAAAAAAATTATGGAATGTAAATTTATGCTGGCCTACATATTTTGAAGTACTTCGAGTGTATTTTAAAAGCCTAACATTGCATTATTTTTAATTTTTTTCTACTGAGTCAATTTCCTCGGGGGGACAAATCTTGTAATGAAATCTCGGCTCTGCTATCGACAAGTAAGAGAACACAAATACGAATCTCAAAGAATTATCGTGAGGTGACTGGAAAGAAGAAAACGAAGCGGGGGAGAAGGAACTTCTAGGAGGAAGGTGATTGATAGTTGTTAAATATAAAGATTACTATACTCCAAAGTGTGTAACCTCGCTGTTTTTGGCATGGATACGTGTATGTCAAACAATATTGAGTGGTATCTGGTTATTTACAATGAGGAATTCTGGCTATATGATCTGATACGGTACGAGTAGATACAATATGATACGATATGGTAAATGATATGATATAATATTATATGATGTTGTCTCAGCGCTTATTTGAGCTGATCTATTGTAATTGACCATTCGAGACTGTCAGGAATTCATTGATGGAAGGCATCTATAGTTGCGCAACAGGTATCAGCTCTTACGATTAAGCTTTGGTTTGAACAGGTGGGATTGTACGTGCTACCTGGTAGATGCCCTCAGGTTTATGTATCGATTCAAGATTACTACACTGATGAACCAAATCACGGATGTTCGAATATGTTCTTGAAATGACTGTACTATGTCTGGAGTTAACAGGGGATCGGTTGGATAAGGGATTCTAATTAAAGCAGTATTAGAAGGAGGTTTGGCTGTCGATCACGTTTCCCGAGTTGCTTATTTGGACTAGCGATATCGTATATGCGTTCAGTAGGGGTATCTACAAGGTACAGTAATTAAGCGAAGCCTACAATTTAGTGCTATGTTCGATCAACTAACATACAACACTGATAGGACCTTACGCAATCTCAATCCAGAGCCAACAAGCACCTGTTGAAAGCATGTACTGAAAGCAGGGACATATACAGGCGCTTCTGTTACACAAATCTTGGGAACAAAAAATCTATCGCAACTGGGCAGCCCTAGCTATACAGGGTGTCCGCAAAGTTGAGGTTTTCCTTTACACGACGTGTAGATCTTGAAAACATAAGCAATTTTTCTTAGTACCATATACACCAATGTCTTAAGGGAACCGAGATAAAGGGCTCTGCAACATCAAAAATATCTGAATACCGTCCTGTAGCCGCGATCCGGGACATGACCGATTGGTACAAGGTCTCAACCCGACGGCAGAACTGGGTCGGGGTCAGTGTGTCAGGTTAGTATGCAACCTTCAACCGACGGTTACGGTCACGCGTGTAGAGGTAAACGAACTCGTATAATCGATTGCGTTTCAAAAAAAACAAGCACTAGAGAAGTGGCTAGAGAAGTGCAAGTATCAAAAACTAAAGTGTGGCAAACGCTGCGTGAAGAGGGGCTGTATCCGTTTCACGTCCAACGTGTACAAGCCCTTCAATCTGACGATTTTCCAGCAAGAGTGCGGTTTTGTGAGTGGTTGTTGCATCAACAATAATCCGGACTTTGTGAAGTGCATATTGATGACAGACGAATCTACGTTCACGCGTAATGGGGTGAATAACTTTCGCAACACTCATGTTTGGTCAGTAGAAAATCCGCACGCTGTCCGTCGGGCACATTTTCAACAAACATTTTCGGTGAATGTTTGGGCTGGCATGGTGAACGGTATGCTCATTGGACCATTTATTATCCCAAATCGATTGGACGGGATGCAATACCTAGACTTTTTACGCAACATTTTGCCTTCCTTGTTAGAAGATGTGCCATTACGTGTAAGACAATCAATGTGGTTCCTGCACGATGGTGCACCGCCCCATTTTAGACGCGAAGTGCGTGAGTTTGTGAATGAATTATTTCCGAATAGG